ATGGACCTGTTGGAGCAAGTCCAGAGGAGGCCGGCAAGATAGTTAGAGGGGTTGAGCACCTCTCCTATGAGGAAAGGCTGAGAGAATTGGGATTGTTTGGACTGGAAAAGACAAGGCTACAGGGTGACCTAATTGTGGCCTTCAGTACCTGAAGAGAGCCTGCAAGAAAGATGGAGAGAGACTTTTAAAAGGAGCATGTAGTGACTGGACAAGGGAGAATGGCTTCAGACAACAGAGAGCAGGTTTACAATAGATATTAGGAAGAAACTACTGTGAAAGTGCTGAGGCAGTGGAACAAGGTGCCAGAGAAGCTGTGGCTGCCACATCCCTGGAAGTACAGGTTGGATGAAGCTGTGAGCAACCTGGTCTAGTGAAAGGTGTCCCTGTTCATGGGAGGGTGGTTGGAGTGAGATGATTTTTAAGGTCCCTTCCAACCCAAACCATTCTGTGGTTCTGTGATAACACCCACTTCATGCAAGATTTGAGAAGAGCATAATTACAAAAACTAGCAGGGAGTCCCAATGAGGTGACAGAAAGATTTTGTTGTTCAGGGAGGACATCCTGATGTATTTTTTTCTCTTTTCTTTATATTTTTTTTTTAAATTTAGTATAGGACATCCTGAAATCCTCTTAAGCACTAAGAAGACTGAAACCCAACAATGTGAAGCTTTTGTAAATGCCTGGTGAACCCAGGAGTGGGAGCAGTGGTTAGACTCTTTTGTCTTCATCAAGGCTGAGCTTAGGCTGTGAGCAAACCATTGACACTAGTAAAGCAAAGCTTAAAATAAGGAAAGAAATGCACCTTCAAAAATCCCCACAACCTAGGTCACCAAATGAAATCAGATTTAAAGAGAAATCAAAGAGAAAATAGGCAAAGGTTTAAAGAACAAGTTAAAATGGATTCATCAGGCAAGAGGTTAAAACTAAATAAATACAACTGTTTGCAAGTTGTCCAAAAGCACAAGTCCTAGCATGTATCCTTCTCATGGTCACTGACTGGGTGAAAACCTTTGAATCTGTACTTTTATACATGATTGCCTGAAATAAAATAGATGTGAGTGCCACTGTTGTGACTGCATGGCTGACACCAGCTTCTGGTGTGGGCAACTGGGGGTTCAGTCCCTCATACAACCCCCTCTGCCACACCCTGGGAGCCCCTAGCTTTTTAACTTCTCTCTACTGCACTGTTCTGGATGGCACTTGGTTTGGATTTAGCAACAAAGAAGGGAAAGCCTTGCAAAAGTGGTCTGTGACTCCTGACAGCCCAATTCTGCACATAAGGACTCTCAGGCAGCTCTCAGCTTGTGGACCTCTAAGAGCCCACCTCCACAACAGGTACTTAAAGGGAGGGCACATAAAGAACAGTGCTTTCCACCATATGCTTAATCTGCAGGTTAGTCGATTCACTACTATTGTATTTAATTGTTCTCAATGAAATCTGTCTAATTGCTTTTCTTTTTACCCATCTGAGTAAAAATAAGAATATTAATAATAAATATGCCAAGACTTTTAATAGAGAAGAAAATTTAAAAAGTCATTTCCTGTGCAAGCAGGTGACAGAAAGTGACTACAAAGATGAGAAATACTTCTTTTCTATATGAAACAGAAGAGGAATAATAGGAGCTGGCACAGGTAGGCTGACAAAACTACTGCCTTGTGTAAGTTACTGGTAAACGTGGGTGCTGGGAGGTGAACTAATGACCAGCTGCCTCATTTCCCCAGTATACACTGGAAAAAGGATTTGCAAAGTTGTATGCTGATAGTATACACATGTCAATATAGCCACATGAATATTCATGAGTGAAAACCGTTCTACTTCTTAATAGCAGCTTATAGCCAAATGCCAACATTCTTATCCAGAAAAATCTCTCATTTAGCTGGGTGGGAGATCTGCCCAAACTCAGGCGTTCAGGAACTGATTTTAAATGCATGCCACGCAAAACAGTTTCCTGTTCTCCTTCACCCCCAGCACTAGATTAGCACCTAGAAATACCAAAATTCAATAGTGGCAACTGTATTTTTAGTACTTTAGGGAGCTGCAAATAATCTGTTCCAGAACAATCAAGGCTCTTCCTCTAGAAAAATCCTCTGCTGTACCAGACAGCTTCTCCAGTGGCTTGGTGCCTCGTAGCCATACAACATGCTGGAATGCCATGCCCAGGGCAGAGCCTCGAGATGCTGGTGGATGGGACAGTTGCAGAATATTGAAGTTTGCACATTCCTTGGGTCCCAGCTCGCTAGTTTGCAGAGTACTTAGTGATAGTAGTATGGAAAAGGCTATAGGAAATGCAGGATTTTGCAGTGGTTCCGAGGCAGCATTTCCAAAGCGAGCAGCCCTGCTCAGCTCACTGCTCTCCTTTGTCAGGCAGGGAGAAAGCCAGCCCTTCTTAATCACCCCGAAGTCAATGAGGGGCACTGCCACCCTGTCACTTGATGATTAATTACTGCATCTGCAGGCAGGGCTGCCAGCAAACCAGTGGGCATCATCCATGACGCACATGCAGCCATGTATTTAAAAGGAAATCTGTGCAGCCACGGCAGTAGCATGGACTCGGGAGGGGAAGGGGGGGCCTTGCCCCAGCAAATCGACATCTGCCATCCAGCAGCTGCAAGACCAACAAAGCTCCTTCAGAAGGAAACAAGAGAAAGCCCTCAAGCCACTGGAGGAAACTGTGCTATTATTCATCTTCTTCCCAGTGCAAGTATTCAATCTCTTCCCACCCAAACGTTCCCAACATAATTATTTCCACGGGTACATCTAAAGCCACTGGTGCTGGAAATTCATGAAAGAGACACACTGGGAATCTTAGCATTTCACTGGACTTAAGAGATCAGGCTTTGGGAGGACCTTTAAATACCACAACAGCTGGGAATTCTGATTTTATGCAGTTTTGCTGTATTTACCCTAATTTTAGGTACCAACAGAACTGGGGGGGGGGGGTGATTACTTGTGAAGATATGGTATATATGTATCCTCACAAACACACACAGCCCTATTTAAAAGATGGTGCCCAGGAGATTCACAGGAAGGAGCAGGTTAGGATTTCTCTTTTCTGAGCTATTGCAGAAGCGCTTATGCCTAAAAAAGAAAAGAAAGTAAAAAAAAAAAAAAAAAAAGAAAAAAAGAAGAAAAAAGAAGAAGAAGATTTGGAATTAAATAAAAGAGATTTTAAAGTGTTACTTTCTTATGACTATATCCTCTCCCAGCCTGGTACACACTGGAGGGTGACACTTCAGTTCCATCCACGCCCGTGGCTTAGAGTACACGTGGCACAAGTGGGTGGTGTTCAGTTTTCACTGCTCCTTTGTCCCAAAGCTGGAGGCATCTTTTTGTTTTAATGGCACATTGTGACAAGACAAAGCTAATGCCCTGAGCGGGATTCTATTCACACACTAGTACTGGATTAGGGATTTGATTTTCCTTTTTAACAAATCAGTACAACAGATGGTTTTGGGAAAAGAAAATGCACACACTACTGGGATGTAGCAGAGCTTCCCAGATCCTTGCTGCATAGGGAACAGCACTAAAAGGGAGCTCTATGAAAGCCAAGAACTTATGAATACTGCCTCCAATTTTTTATTTCCCCTCTCAGAGCAGAGACCCCATGTGTCCCCAGCTGCTATAAGGTCTCCCTGGAGTCTTCTCTTCTTCAGTTTGGACATTTAGTGAAGGAAATTTGAAATAGCACTGTCACCACCCAATCAGAATAGTCACAAGCAGTGTGAAAGGGAACTAAGGGAAACTCTCCATATCTCTGGTGTTTGACAAGAGACAATCTGTTGGAAAGATCCCCTTCCTTTCTCCATGAAGCCACAGTTTTATTTCCCACTCAGACAAAAAATTTGAAAGAATCTGCCGACTGTCCCAGGATACAATAGCATAACATACTAACAATAGTTTCACTTCTTGGCTTTTGACATCCACTCACTATTATGGACTATTTAATAACTGAAAGGAAAAGGAGATGCTGCAATTTTCTCTACAACAGCTGCATCTTCTCTTTGTCCTGATCAGCCTTATACTGGCTTCTTACAGCTAAGTAGCATCAGGAGGGCATTATCAGCAGCAGTGCCCTTATCAAACAAAGCCACAAACCCACCCAAAAGTCACTGCATAGATTGTTTCTTTTCACCAAGCAAAATATATTTCACTGCAGTTCTTTTTTATTACAGAGTTTTGAAGCCTTTGTGTGCTGCATGCTTGACACTTAGTCAAGTGTCCTTTGCACTGACTGCTGCTGTAAGTTACTTCTTTGGAACAAAATTTGTCTCTTTCAGAGAAATAATTGGAAGAAGGAGACAGAAGGTGACCTTAACACTGCAGATTCCCCTGAATTTTGTGCAACAGGATGGGGGATGTGTCTCCAAGGTTTCAGACAGGGAGCAAGGTCCCCCTCTTCATTCATGGTATTACCTAAGGGACAACAGAGAGTTACCTTTTATCTGTGAAATTTTGCAAGGTGAAATAAAGAGATCTATTTTCCCCAGAACAGTGAGCCCGGAGTGCTGCAGCAGCCCCGGGTGGTACTGCTCCCTCCTGCCTGGACCACCACGCACCTCCCTCCAAGCAAGAGGCATGACATAACTCTGAGTCAGTTCTAGCTCTCTCCCTGCTGTCAGTGAGCAGCTGCCAACTTCTTCCTGCAGCACAGCCCTTCTCCCGAGGCACCTGCTTTGCTGCAGCAGTGGATGTGTAGGTGGGGACTCCACTCCTTATCTACTCCATACCTTGCTTTCTCCTTGCCTATCCAGCTTGGAGGCACAGGAAACAGCAGTTATGCAGACAAACATCCTTTCCCACGAACAAGAGAAACAATGAATCCCACAGTTAATCCCGCAAAGGGAGAGGGATGCTTTATGCTCCTGTATTTCATTGCCAGACCAGTCAGGAGGATGTTTTACACCCTGAGTCTTTGTGCAGATGGAAGGAATTCATTTCAACATTCAGTCTTTGTCTCTCACTCCTGACTTTTCCTGTTTCTATTACTTTTCTGCTGCAGGTGAAGCTTTGTTCCAGACAAGTAACCTGTGGCAGTGGACTCAGCCAAGAGGGTACTGGCTGTGAGTGTGTAGCACAGACAATGAGAGAATTGGTGAGGGGAGACCAGCAGAAAATCACAGCAACAAGGAAGAGAGAGCTCCAGAAATACAATCCAAATATTTCAGCTCTGTTTCAGCAGCTGTCTCAGAAGACTCTGTTAAAGCAGGAATTTTTGTGCTGCAACTTGTTACCTGAAAAATAAATTGGGAACAAGAAGAGGAAACTGAGTTCTCAGACCGGTTTATCTGTATGAGATGCTGACTTTTTTATGGACACAGAATTTCAGATTAACAAGTAGATAGATGCTTCTGACATGTTTTAAGAGAGGCTCCAGGGACAGAGGTTTTGAGAGCAGTGTGTGTGTTTAAGTGCAGCTCCATCAGCTTGGATAAAGAGAGATTCATTTCAAATGAGCCAAATGGGGAAGAAATGAGAGGCCATTTCTGCACTTGCCTTGGCCATGGCTGTCCTTGTTATCTGTAGTTCTGAGCTGGATTCAAAGTGCTTATTCAAACCAGTATAATCACTATGAAGAATGGCCATTTCCAGCTTTATTTATTCATTTAATCCAGTAGGTAATGCTTGAGGAAATAACCACAAGAGGTCTTAATGTAATAGGCATAAGTACGTGTGTAAATATTTTGCTGGTTTATGCTGAGAAACATGGACTTTTTGGGACTGTGTCTTTACCAACAAGTATGGGAATTCTTTGAGCTTTATCTTTTTTTTTTCTGTATGTCTGTCTGCACTTCCTGTAACTTTTTACATGGCCAAAAATAAACCAGAGTTTAATTTCAGACTGGAAGAGACTAAGCTTGTTGTGGGATCTTGTGACTAGACATTTCAGGCTGAGTTTCCCAAGCAGTTCTCCTTCCCCTTCATTTTTGAGTATTAAAGAGAAAACTGAGAAAGAGTATTAAAGAGAAAACTGTGGGAAAATGCAAGTACTGGTTGCACTGCAGCATAAAATATAGACTTGCATGAGAAGGTCAATTTTTTTCCTGTCAGCCACGTTCTAGCGAGAAGCAGAGAAATACACACCAGAGATGACAAGACCCTACCACTCCTTCTCATCCTCTAGCTGTAAATAGCCTCCAATTATTACTATCTCAGACATTCAGCCCAACTCTCTAATGAAAATATTTTGTTTTAGCAAATTCAGAATGTCCTCAAAAGACTGTTTATTATGAAAACCTTCAGGAGCAAATAAAGGATTTGGCAAAGGACTTCATGGGGTCAGAACTGCTGTAGGCAGTTCCCATGCCAAAGAGGGTGAGGTATAGCAAAGCAAACATCAGTCTTACAGGCACTGTTAATGCCTCTGCTCCGTGAGCACTGGAGTCACTGGTGAGGGGTAAAGCAGCTGAAGCTCCTGGTCCTTCTGCCCCCAGGAGCTGCAGCATCTTCAAGGAGATGGAGACAGGGTGGTTTCACACAGAAAGGCATCTGCTAATCGGAGAGGGGAAGGCAGCTTGGAGGACGTGATAATCACAGCCCATCACTAATGCAGATAACAACCTTTCTCACTCATCTCCCTGACAGTGTATCTTTTTCTGCCTCATTGGAGGCCGGGGCGGAGAATCAGGATTGTTATTCATTTACCCAACCTGGGCTCTTTTTCCAAACAGAATTCCAGATGGCCAACGATTTTGATTCAGGTGAACAGCTCATTTAGCAGGATTGGGCTGACGATTCAGCGATTTCAAGAGCAAACATCAACTCGGAAGCAAAAAAACATAGGGACAAAGCCATAAAATGTTGAAACAGTGATGGATGTGCACCTGAAAAAGGCTTGTGAATTTTAAGGATCTGCAGACCTACCTAGAGGAAATCTTTCCTCCCCATACAACTGCATGTATATATGAATTAAAAAAGAACTGAGACAGCTTTCTAGAATATCTTAAGACAATTAAATGTTTTTTTCATAGTACATCCATCCTGCAAAATGTCAAATACAGTTTGCAGAGAAAATCAAGCAGAAGCCAAAGAGGAAAAGAAGGTCTGAAGGTGAAGAAGCAAGTACCACTGAGGAGTGACAGAATGTCAGAGAGCAGGGCTCCTTGTGCTCCTGACTGCTTATTTATTTTTGTAGCTGATAACTGTTTATTGCAGCAGAGACTTATTTATATATATATTTTTTTTTTATTTAAAAGACTAGATTTACAGACCCTGAAGTTGTTTATTGGAAACTTCTCTCCCCCTCAAGCTGGATATTTCATTACTTATACTGAGCCCTTGGTGGAGCAGAGAAAGGCATACAAGGAACACCTGAACTCAGAGTCGTCTTCTTTCGGTAGTTACTGCTCCTGCACTTAAAGATTTTCAGACTCATTTGTTTCTTGGGTTTCAGGGCACAAATCTCACTTGGCTTTGTTACTCAGCAAGCAATTTAGGCAGATCCCTAAACATGCCCCACCCCTGGAAGCATTCAAGACCAAGCTGGATGGAGCTCTGAGTAACCTCGTCTAGTGGAAGGTTCCCTGCCCATGGCAGGGGGGTTGGAACTAGAAGAGCTTTAAGGTCCCTCTCAACCCAACCCACTCTATGATCTTTGGCAGTGGGAGCAGAATTGGCTGATGATTTCTGTCCAGACACCTCTGTCCTGCTCCAGCAGGACTCTCTGTGCAGGAGGAAGAAGCCCACTGCTGTAGAGCTGCAAAGATCCCTCCTGGTTTCCACTGCTGTATATTTAATCACTGGATAGTCCCACTGGGGGGAAGAATCTTTCCCCACTATAGATTCATACCAGTAAATATGTAGATTTTTCCCTCTGATGTTGTTACTCTGAATTAAAACCTATATGGGAGCAGATTGGAACCCAGAATGATCATTTCCAGGAAGGGCAAGCATTATCTAAGCTCCTAACTCTTGGATGAACCCTGTCTTTTGCAGCATTGTGTTATGAAATGGAGTCTGAAAAAGTTTATTACCCTAGATTTAGACCCAGTTGGTTTCATAGTAATGGGCCCCTCCTCATATCAGCTGCCTTCTCAGAGGGCAAAGGCAATTAGAAAACAGTGGAAAAGAAACACTACTGTATTTACATTTTAATAGCATTGGTTTGATGCCCTGATTTCCTATGAAATCTGCTGTGAGGATAGCTATTAAAAACATAGGTGGGATTGACAAAAGAATGAAGAGTCTCACTTTCAGGGTGCTGGGATGGCAGTGACCAGAGCTCATCACTGGGCTGGCTGAGCCAGCTCCCGCATTCACATCCCTGTTAAAAAATATTTCCCTCTGCATCCCCCTGTGAGACACGTCACTGGGTTGGTGTGGGGAAGCCTGAGCTGACCCAGGGCAGGAGCTGCAGCAGTTTGGCACCAATCCTAGAGACACCAGTAAATGGAGGAACTGCTACGAAGTCCTCCCCTGACCCAAAAGTAGGTATTTTTATGTGCTGCAAGGCTGTTCGCTCACTGTCTGTGAAAAAAAGAGAAAGAAACCTCAGGTCAGTGGACACTCATGAATTAGTTTAAGATCCTGGGTTTATATTCTCAAATAGTTAGGTATGGCTCCTGGTTTGACTGTGGCACAAATTTCCAGCAATTATTTCCAGCACAAATAATGCCTGAAGTGTGGGAGTAGCATTCATTTGGTACAGAGGGAATCAGTTCAATCAGTCATTTCCATAGCACGAAGGTAGAAAATGTCTGAAAAGAGAAAAAGATAACAATATCACAGTAAAGAATTCTAATCCCTTAATTAAACAGAACAAATTAATCCCTAGGACAAAGAAATATTCGAAGGTCAATTTATTTTTATTTGTTCCCAGGAAATATCCTTTCTTATTCTGATAAAATAAAAAGTCCGCAGTTTGAAAATACCTGTCACTTCTCAGGGAAAAAGAAGAAAATCTAGGATTTTTTTTCTCCTTATGTCCATCTGTTGTTATTTCAGTTTTGACATAAGTACAAAACATAATGCATCAAAAATTACTACAAATGGAGGCAATCTGAAAAGATCAATAAACAGTTCAGTGGATTGGAGACAGAGCAGTTTTGCAGCCTCCCAAACCAGCATCCTAATGTTCTATTTTAATTAAATACAGATTTTCAAAAGATGGTTAGCAGAACAAGTACAACCCAGCAGGTTGGGAATGTTGATTTCTCTTCCTTAATTGTGTTGTGAAGCAACCTCCACAGATAATAGAATAACAAATTAGCATGGAGGACAAAAGAACATAGGAATGACACAAATGAATAAGAAAAAATAAGGTAGAGAATAAAGCAATGATGGGGGCTAAGCTGTGCTGATTTCTCCTGTCCATCATCCACGTACACAGGCCTGGCCCAGAACCCCCCAGTGACAACAGCAGCCACTCACCTGTGTCACCCCATTGTCCCCAAGCTCGTGGTGCCCACAGATGTTCCCTTTCAGCTGTTGTTTATCACAAAGCCAAACACCCACTCCTTGTCCACCACTCTTTGCTGATTTATCCCAGCTAAGACATGGAACACACGTTCTCAGAGTTCCTGGGCTCAAATTTAATTTTTGGGGCAATCAACTTCAACAGAGCTGCTGATTGCAGCAGGACAGGGATTAGATCTCATGTGAACACTTAAAATAACATTTCTCCACCTTCCTAGTATTAGTTTCCCCATGATGCGTTCACTGGGGCCATTGTTGGGAGAGAAAGAACCACTATAAAATAGGTAAAAAATAAATTTTAGGGAATATCTCAATGGACAGGTTTTTCCACAAACTTTGATTTTTTTTCTTAAAGGTTCCTACAGATATCAGCATTCAAAACCTGTCACAGAGCTTTGATGCTCTTTTTAATGATGAATCAAGTAGAAAGATGGCAAGAGGATGCACTGTATCATGTTTGTGTCATTGTAGTGTGAGGCATCAGGGATGTACTAAAAGCACATAAAAGTTTTCAGATTCAATTTGGATAAGTACTTTCAAATAATCTCACTGATCAGCTGAAGTCTTCTTAGTTGGACATACTTCAGGCATAGCCTTTGCCACAGGATTTCCATTTCAGCCCTGCTGAAAGCACCTTGAGGAATGATAATTTCGTAGCTTTCTTCCTTGAACCACTGGAAATGAGAAGTGCATAAAAATGAAAAGCAGTGGGAAAGGAATCAAACCTTTTCAGCACTTATCACAGTTTATGTAATTTCAAGACATAGTAGAATTTTTAGGAGATTTCTCATTTTACTGGAATAATTTCAACCCTCTCTGACAAGGAGAATAGGTGGTGGCTGCATGGAGGTTTCCTAAATAACTGAAAAACCAACATCCAAAGTTCTTTAAAAAGTCATATTTTGATTAGACCTGAAAATTGCAGACCTCTCATCACTTATAGTGCCCTAGATTAATTCTGATGTAACATCAATATTTCTCCAGGCTGCGGTGGAGAGCAAAACTGAGTGTCTATTCAGCTTCTGTGATGTCCAGGTTACACTAGAAAGGAAGAGATGTGCAAAGAGAGGAAACACAGAGGGAACAGGACTCTGCTGCCTTTCCTTTTGGAGAAGAGGACTAGTGAAGCTTGGTCAGTGTGAGAGCTCTTGTTCTGGCAGCCAGTGTCCCCTGGGGTCCTATCAGAGGCTTTACTGGCTGACCTAACCCAGGTATAGTTTTTTGCATGGTCTTCTCTTACGTATTCGAAATCATATAATCCCGCCATGATATAAAAGTTAGGTCTACATGATCTTTCACAGGCTTATGCTGGACCCCCTGACCACCCAGAGCTGGTAATCCACATTAGTCTTCGTGTTAGTCCCAGTCTCCTGTGACCAGGGCTCGTAGCTGAGACAGCTCTCTGCTAACCGTGAACATGATGCCAGCCTGGACCATGGACA